TAATCCATACTCATCAAGTAGAAACCACAAGATATATATATAAATACAAGATCAAAACATTGTTAAAAACAAATCCCCAAAAATATACAAAGAATTAAGTCTAGGAAGCAAACTTAGGGGCTAGCCCCAAGTAGATGTCTAGCCACTCATTGAAGTAGTCATCCAACCCTCAAGGGCTATCTCCATGGTAGGAATAACCTCCTTCTTGATGGAAAACCCAGAAGAATGGAAGAACTCCCAAAATGTGTAAAACTCTCTAATCTCTAGCCTCCTCTCCAAGATAAGAAAAGTACAAGTTATGTTGAATGTTACAAGTTATAATGTAAAAATGGCTCAAATTCCTTATATAAGTAGGTCAAGTGTCACACCTAATGTTCTGGGCTCATACACCAAGGTCCCTCCAATGATTGCACCATGGGCTAACTTTTAATGAGCTGGAATCTATTTTTTTCGGACTTGAGGAAGTTCGATCGATCGAACACAGTTCGATCGATCGAACTTAGCTGAGATCCATCGAATGCTGTAGAGATTGATCATCCTTGGCAGCGCCTCTTTGAATAAAGACAAATCTCTGAAATATTTTGGGATATTTTTGGGAAGAAGACAAAAGTGGTAGGTGGGTGGTAGGTGTGGATAAGATCGAATCATTTCTATCTATCTGGAAAATGTTGGATCGATCGAACTTGCTAGATTCCTTTGGATAAGGACAAGTTCTTGGATGCATCATGAATTGTTTAGATCGATGAACTTTTGATCGATCGAAGAAATGCTGAGATCGATCAAACATGCTGAATTTCCACACTTTGCTTCATTTAACTTCCACTTTGCTCTTTTCTTCCATTCAACTTGAATTAACTTCTTTAATGCTCTTATTTGGCTGAATTGACTTATTTTTGGGATAAACACCTGAAAAGGACAATAACTCGAAATTAGAATAAAACAAAAAAATAAGATAGATAAAGGTCCTAGAATGCTCAAGCTTAAGGGGTTTAAATGCACACTTTTCAGTGCTCATCAGTAACATTAACGGTTTGATGATTATGGAGTTGGAAAATATTTTAAAAAATTGGGAGAGATATTGACATTGCATCTCATTGCATCTACGGGACTTAGATTATATGATGATTATTTATTTCCCCAAATTAAGCACGATCGTCTTCCTCTTATTCTATGCTTTGTTTTGGATTCACAGAATCATTAAGGAGTGCATTTTAGGTACCTACAACTGAGCCATTGTGCTCACCCTTTTATTACTATTTTTTAGAAACCGAAAAAGAGGTAATGGATGACCCACAACATCTTCCATGATAGTCCATGAATTTCTTTTGTAAACTAGGCCTTTAATCTCCCATGATATTTTGAATTGTAATTTTGATGTAAATGAAGTATTTATAATAGCCATATAATTTCCTTTTACTATGAGATTTTATTTTGACGTTACTTGTATTCATTTTGCAGATATAAGTGGTTCTAAGACCATCTTTTTTCGTTCTATGGTCTCATTAGTATTTTTGAATCCATGTAAGGCCTCATGCCCATATTATAAAGTAACCGAATTCATTTTAACTTCAATTGATGTATTAAGCTCGTTTATGTTTTAATCTAATGCATGAAATTTTAATTGCATTGTATGCTATCAAATGTATGATTTCGGGATGAGTTTAGACCATATTTAAAGTCACAAGTGAACCAATGAGGGTACCAGGGGTCAACCCACCCCAAAACAGGACTTAAAGGTCAAAGAGGTGTGAATCGGTCGACGTAGGGAAGTCCACTCATCAACTGATATCTAAGCAAAAGGGTTACCCATGCATAGAGCCAAACCGGTCGACGTGAAGCCGCACACGTCGACCGATTTAGCTGAGCCGGTTGACATATACCCTGCACACACGTCGATGGATTCCAACCCCGACCTATTTGACGATGCTATGGTGCACTACAAACCTTAGAATGATGTATTAATTATGTCTTGACATTAGAAATAAAAGTAATGCCTTTAGATGACCTCGGGTTCGGTTAAGGACTCGGATAATAATCCGGACCCTCGGGTTTAGATCATTACAAAACCTAAATCCTAATCCAAATTACTTAAATCCCAAACTTGAATCATGATAAGTGCTCAAATGTTGCACATTTTAGCACCTAAGCTAGGGTAGTTTAGTCCCTTCATCTATCTTGCTTTCCCGTTTTAGTTCTAATTTTTTTATTTTATTTTTGTGTCTATTTCAGGTCAATAAAGTTTAAACTGGCTAAAAACAGTCCATTAAAGCCTTTTTGGAGTCAAGCAGAAAATTCAGAAAAAGTTCAAAAAGTTACACTGGAGCACACACGATAAATCGCAGATTCTTCACAATCGATTACAGGCCACATCATCGTTCGCAGCCGCGTCAGCATTGTATAAGGCTGCCACATCATTGTTTATTCAAAGTCACAATCGAGCACTGCCAAGTGCGATCATTCGCAATGCCACATTAGCGTCAGCTCAGCGGATAAGATAACAAGTTGTCAATATAGTAATGCCACGTCATCTATGATCGATCGCAAAAGTTGATGGTCGATCGTAAAATCCCACGATCGATTGCAACTCTGTTGGCAGTGAGCTGTTTTATTCCCGGCTGCGTCGAGCTTCACCTACCAAGTGGCTAGGAGATTGAACCAATTAGAGGGCCAAATTCTGACTTGATTTATACTCCAAGGAGCTTGTTTATAAGGCAAAATGAACCATTTGTTAGGGGTTCCATCAATTGTTGACCATTATTCAATTTAGTTAGCTTTTAATTCTCTCTCTAGAATTAGGGTTCTTGTGAAGAAAGGAAGCTAAATCATTATTATCTTTGGGGTTCTCTACAATGAAGACCAAGGAACAGAAGATGGAGCCATGTTTGGGGATAGCCCTTAAGGGTTTCATGACCATATCCACCTCCTCTATGAGTGGCTAAACACCATCTTAGGGCTTGGGTGAGCCCTAGGTTTATTCTCTAAACCCTATCTCTTTGTCTTTTTGGGGAATCTATTGTTGTAATGAATGCTATAGCCTTGTAAATATATGAATCTTGGGTTTTTCATAATTTTATCTATGGCTGAATGCTTCCTTATAATTCTCCAGATTAATTGCATGTCTATTTATAATTAGTTGAGGATTTCATCTCTACACTAGTTTTTCTAAGTTAATTGCATGTCTATGTGTGATTAAATTGAGAATCTAGTGATAGCTATGCATGGATTTCATTGCATACACTTGTTGATTAATATAATGGGTTATGCCTATGCTTGATGGATTGTACTACATCTTTAGTTTAGTTGCTTTAATTTCATTGTCTTAGTTTAATTGTAGTGTAGTTGCATTTAAATTCCTAGATGGGTAAACAATCCATGTTTGTATTTGATAATCCATGCTTATTGTTACAAGTTGTATGATTCTCTAGATTAATGTGTGTTACAATTGTGGATTAATTGGATGGTTTATTCCTTGACTTGATGAGTTGTGCTACATCCTAATTTACTGATTTTTAAGTGGACAATTCATGCTTGTATGTGATATATATGCTCATTGTTGCAATTGATAATACATATTTGGGTTATAACATTGTTCTTTCCCTAATTAGATGAATGGTAGTGGTTTAGGGACGAGCTTAGCGGTGATTCCTATACCCTAAGACCTCTCTCCTATTCTCTAGACCCTAATTAATTTAGCTTGTTTCTTCTTGCATTGCTTAATTTAGTTAATTATAGTTAATTAAACAAAACCAAAACCTCTTTTTAATAAATTGATATACTAATCTAAGTTTAATTCCAAGTACCCTCTTGATCTCTTAGGACGATCCATTCTCTAAAGCAAAGTTTTACACATATTTTGTTGCACATACGAGAAGACATCACATTTTTGGCGTCGCTGCCAGGGATCAACGGTCATTCTTGGAATCAAATTAGGAATTAGTTTTCTTTTGATTGCTTGTCTTTACTTTCATTTTATTTTTCTCACTTGCTACTTGTGCAATTACGTACTTGAAGGCAAGAAAAATAAGCATTGGAACTCGATATCGTTGCTTGGGACCTTTATGAGCGTATCTTGAACTGATTTATCTTAATTGTGCATCGGTCTTTGTTGAGGCCTTTACTTTTATTGTTGAAAGCATGGACCCTTGTTGCGGTCATTAAATTCTTGCATTGATATAACATGGGAGTATGGGAACATCGTATATGGAGATTATGGTGAATTGTTGTTGATTGTTGTGGAGACTAAGTTGTTGCTATTTGTTGTTCATATGCATGCATGGTAGAAGATCACTTAACCGTCATCTTCTTCCTTTGAATCAAAATCTCGAGTCTTCACTCCGTCATCCAAGGGTTAGCTCTAATAGAATTTTTCCAACTCTTTACTACTCCATTACATCAATGGAAGATCAAGTTAAGGATCTTAGTCATGTGGACCAATAAGGTATGTACCATCCGAATATTGTGCAACCTAATAATGTGATACCACCTTATATTCCACAACCACCACTTGTGCAAGTCCCTTTTGGAATGCCAAGACCAATTTTTGTGCCACCACCTCCTATAGGTCAAGTTCCTCATGGAGCTCGTGTAGAGCAACAAGTTCCTCATGGAGCTCATGTAGAGCAACAAGTTCCTATTCCTCCAATGGTTCTCAAAGACCATTATGTGCCTAATGAGTATAATGCCCTGACATGTATCCGGCTTCCTAATTTTAGGGCCCATCACTATGAAATTAAACCTTCCACTATTCAAATGTGCCCACTCTTCTTTGGGTTGAGCAATGGGGAACCTTATAAACATTTGAATGAGTTCTTGGAAGTGTGCTCCATCATGAAAATCACAGATGTGCCAAAAGAAGTGCTAAGGTTCAAGCTTTTCCCTTTCACTCTTCGGGATAAAGGTAAATATTGGTTCAACAACTTGGGGGCTAATACCATAACATCTTGGGCTCAAATGCAACAAGAATTCTTATATAGTTTTACCCTGCAAGTCGAACTAATTCCATGCGCACAATCATTCGTAAATTTTCTCAAGGGGATGGAGAACCCCTACATGAAGCATGTGAGCGATTGAATGATTTGATAAGGAAATGTCCACATCATGACATTCCAAAATGGAGATTAGTTCAATTCTTCTACGAGAGCTTATCTGATACCCACAAGGGTATGGTGGATGCTTCGTGTAGAGGTACTTATTTGGAAAGGCATGAGGATGACATTTGGCGCCTTTTTAAAATATGAGTGAAAACTCAATGCATCATACGTTATCCTCTCGCCTAGCCCAAAACTCCAATGTTGGAAAGAAGAAGAACTTGAACTTGTGCCAAGTAAAGAGTTCAAATGAAATTACTGCCGAAGTTAAAACTTTGACACAAAGGTTTGATCAATTCTTGTTAAATCAAAACTCGGCAAATCAAGCATCTTCCCGTCCTCATTCTCATCAAGAAATGTGCATGATATGCTCTAGTTTGACTCACACTACTTTGAATTGTCCAATTGGACATGTTTTTCAAGGTGAGCAACAAGAGCAAGCAAATGCCGCTTTTGTGCATCCGGGGAACAACCCCTATTCTAATACTTTCAATCCGGGATAAAAGGAGCATCCCAACTTTCCATAGAGGAACCAAGGAGTTGGTGCAAACCCTCCACAAGTTCAAAATCCTCAAGGAAAGTATGTACCTCCACATATTCAAAACTCAAATTCTCAAGGATATCATCCCTCCTACCCTCATTTCAATGTGAACCAATCTTCCAACCCTTAAGCGTCCAACTCTCAATCCTATTCTCAAGTTCCCCCTAGGAACTCCGCTTTTGAGGAAAAAGTTTTGTCGGCTTTAGGAAGTTTAGAGGCCAATACTCAATTGTTTCATTCTCATTCTCAATCAATAGCAAAGCTAGAACCAAGTGGGGTAAATAGCTAACTCTTTAAATACAAAAGAGAAAGGGAAATTGCTTATTCAACCCAAGCCTAAACCTCAATACATGGTGGAATCAACTCCCCCAGTGGGATTTACCATCCATGAGCAAGTGAATGTTATCACCACTTTGAGAAGTGAGAGAGAGATTGACAACAAAGTGGAAGCACCTAGTGAAGTTAGTGAACTGGTGCAACCAAGTGGTTGTCCGGCCCGTTTCCAATCCTATTCCTTCTTCACTAAAGTCAAATGAGCACATTGAAGAGAAATCATCACAAGCATCATCATTTAATAATCTTAAAAAGCCTTATGAGCCCAAGGCTCTGTTTCCACAAGCTTTGAAAAATTATTCATCTTTTGGGAAACAAGAGATAGAAGTGTTTTGATAAGTGAAAGTGAATCTTCCTCTTCTTGATGCAATCCGTTAAATTCCAACCTATGCCAAGTTTTTGAAGGACATGTGCACCCAAAAGAGGAAATCCAAGACCCAAGCACCAAGAAAAGTTTTGCTCATCGAGCAAGTGAGTTCCATTTGTCAACATAACACTCTTCCAAAGTTCAAAGACCTCGGCTCTCTAACCATTTCATGCACCATTGGTGATCATGAAATTAATAGGGCTCTTTTAGACCAAGGAGCGAGTGTTAACCTTCTCCCTTACTCGGTGTATCTTCAATTAGGCTTAGGAGAATTGAAACCCATGTCGGTTTTTTTGTAACTTGCAGACTGTTCTATCAAGAAACCGCGTGGGATTATTGAGGATGTTTTAATCACGGTTGATAAGTTCTACTTTCCGGTCGATTTTGTGGTCATTGACACAGAACCGGTCCTTAACCCAAAGAGTTAAATACCCATTATTCTTGGCCATCCTTTCTTAGCTACTGCTAATGCAAATATCAATTGCAGGGCAAGGGTAATGAAAATTGGTGTGATCTCAACTGAGTGCTCAAAAAGTGATTAGTGAAAAGTGGTACCACATTTAAAAATTTATAAAACCACTAGACACTTATACTATGTAGTATGAAGTGTGAAGGGGTTGTCCCAAGAGATTGTAAGGATATTCGGAATAAAAGTTGGATTAGTAGGTCAAGTGATCAAAAGAGTGGTTTGGTTTGGCTTAATTAAACTACAATTGAACTAAAGAACATGCAAAAAAAAAACAAGCTAAAGTAAATAGGGTGTAAAGAATGGGAGAGAGGTCTTAGGGCATAGGAATCACAACTAAGCTCTTCCTCTAAACAACTAGCCTTTGACAATTTAAAGGAATTAAATGTTGTAAACCACGTGTGTGTGTGTGCTACCAATTGAAACAATGAGCATGGGTGACCAAAGACAAACATGAATTGTCTACTTAAGCTAGCGTGTAGTACAACTCATCAAGTTAAGGCATTAACCATTCAATAAACCCACAATTGTAGCACAAAACAATCTAGAGAAATATACATATTGTAACCAAAAGCATGGATTATCATACACAAGCATGGATTGTCTACCTAATATATGAATTGAAATGGAATTAGACTATAATTACACAAAGACAAGGAAATTAAACTAATTAACTAAGGTTGTAGAACAATCCATCAAGTACGAGCATAGTGTTGTCCAAAATATGGTTTAATTATGCTATATACTATAGTATTATTTATTTAAATATTATCTGTAAATATAAAATAATATAATGCTTCTATATATAATTATTATAAAATAATAATCTATATATATAATTACTTATAATATATAGTTTAATAAAATAAAATAAAAACTACAAATAAAGGCTCCTGATTAAAAGTCAAGGCTAGAATTTGATTCTATATCCTTAAGACATATTCGTCCCGCTATGATGCTAACGGACTCAGTGGCGTCTATCTCCTAGGATAGAACGACTTGTCTTCCTTCGGTAATAGCACTGTAAACCAAAGGAATAGGCGAACCGGCTCGGTGTAGTACTCTCTGACTCGAACTCGAACTCTGAGTGACTGACTAAGGCTCGAACCCAAATACTAAGGCTCAAACCCACAGACTAAAGAGAGAAGGAGGAAGAAGAAAATTCAGAAGAAGATAAGAATTCTCTGAATTTTGGTATGATTTGCAAATGATCCAAATGGGGGTATTTATAGGTTGCAAGGTGCCTTTTCGAGTGGGTGCAACCATGGGTTATGATGGTTCGGAAAAAGGTGCAACCCTTTGTAAAAAACTAAAAAGTGGTTTTTTTTTTAATTTAAATTCAAAAAACCAACCAGTTGTGAAACCCATTTAAATAAGCCCAGCCCAAAAAACAGGCCCAATCCAAAATTCCATTTAGTAAAAAGAATAACCGGACTTTACAATTAGGCCCAAGCCCAAGCTTGACATATTTAAACTTCAATTGGTTCCAACATTTTTTCCATTTAGGCTTATCAAACACCTCACTTTGGATCTAATTTCTCATTCACCCGAAAAAGGATTTGAAAAAGTAAATATACCACGTTCATTTCCTTGCGGAGAGGAATGCACTCATCTATAGATCCGTAAAAAATTCTTAGCGGAGTTTATTCCAATTCTCATCCAAAGTTTATGTTTTTAATGCCCCCGTTTCCAACAATCCCCCACATGAATGGAAAATTGAGCAAATTACAAATAAAGAAGATACAGACACTAGAGAGAGTACTATTGGAAAGTAACTGCATCGGGATAGGTAGCTTTTGGCCTTGAACCTTCCCTAGTGTATTACTATTGGATTTACTGGCTAACCAGTGAACATAATGTCTTGAACTATTCAACCGTTGATGTAAACCAAGACAATAGCAAACACACAGTTCCTTCCCGCACAAATTCGATTCTCACGGTTGTGTTCATATGGCCCTGAACAACTCCTGGTATTTCATGAGTGCTCTAGAAAAATTAGCCTTAGAAGTTCTCATAGAAGCGGCCCTAATTCACACTCATATATGTGATTTCTTATTAAGAGTATCCTACTATACCCCACTTGAATTTTCAAGGTATAAGAGTCATTAAAAACATAGCTTATCGTACTCATCGCTGTAGGTAGGACTGCCTTATCATAGAAATGGGTAGAAGATTAAATCTTCCCAGTGCTTCTGGTGAGCCATTCAGAATTTCTGTTGTCCCTTTGAACCTAGATCTTGGGATCTCCAGTCAACTAAGTTGGGTTTCCATTAAGATGACTTGTTAGCTTTCGGCTTTAATCCTATTCCCCTCGATGAACTATACACTTGCTCTCTGTCAAACCTTTTATAAACGGATTCGCTAAATTATCTTTTGACCTGATATAATCTATTGAGATTATCCCACTTGAGAGCAATTGTCTAACGGTATTATGTCATCGACGTATATGTGGAGACTTACCATTATACATATTACTTTGTGCCCTTCCAATTACTGATTGACTATCACAATGTATACAAATAACGGGCACAGGTTTAGGCCAATTTGGAATATCTTCTAAGAAATTACGAAGCCACTCAGCTTCTTCACCAGCTTTATCTAAAGCAATAAATTCAGATTCCATAGTGGATCTGGCAATACAAGTTTGTTTTGAAGATTTCTAAGATATGGTACCTCCTCCAATAGTAAAGACATAGCCACTTGTGGATTTAGAATCTTTCGTATCTGATATGCAATTAGCATCACTGTATCCTTCAAGTACTGCTGGATATCTAGAATAATGTAATCCATAACTTATAATATATCTTAAATACCTTAGAACCCTGATTATTGCAGTCCAATGGTTCTTTCCTGGATTACTTGTATATCTACTCAATTTATTAACTGGGTATGTTATGTCTGGTCGTATGCAATTCATCAAATACATTAAGCTTCCTATAATGCGAGAATACTCAAGTTGTGATATGCTAGGACTAGTATTTTTCGATAAATGAAGATTTACATCAACAGGAGTCTTTACAAGACTACTATCTTCCTTATTAAACTTTTCTAATATTTTCTTAATATAGTGAGATTGAGATAAAACTAGACCATCTGATGTTCTAGAAATCTTGATTCCTAGTATGACATCGGCTATGCCTAAATCTTTCATATCGAAATTTTTGGTCAACATCTTTTTAGTAGTTTTGATTATAACATCATTACTACCCATTATTAGCATATCATCCACATATAGGCACACAATGACATGTCCATTTTGAGTGTTTTTCACATAAACACATTTATCACACTTATTAATTTTAAAACCATT